TGAGAAAGAGAGAGAGAGACAGAGACAGAGACAGAGACAGAGACAGAGAGATTCTCTATCCCACTTCTCGTGTAGGCTCACTGGGTTGATCTAGGAACCCAATTAATACAAGAGCTGGTTAACAAATGACAAGCATAAAAGTTGATTTTACACGTACACGAAAATCTTCATAAGAGAGTAGAGTCTGAAGACATGACCAAAGCCTGACACTTTTATGCTCTTCAGACAAAGAACAATGCATTTGTGAAGTAATGACAGGACAACTAGACAAGAGGAATAGGACAGTAAATTCTAGGGATGTTACTAAGAGATATAGGGGGAAGAGGTGATGTAGAAGCCAATAGAAGAAAAGAGTTATTTCAGAGTTTGTGCATTCAGGTTCATTACAGCCCTAGTTACAGTCTCTGTTTTTCAGCCTTGGTATGGGAAGGACATCCCTCTCAAAAGGATCTCTGTGACCTGTTCCATGTAGGGAGGTCGGGCCAAATGACCAAGTGGTTTCAGCTGGAAACAATCAGCATACCAATTTGGCCTGTTTTGCCTTCACTCTTTCAGTAGAATGCTCCCACAGACCCTCACATTGTCACGTGCGGACTGGACAGCCAAGAGTCATTGTAAAACAATGGCTTACAGGGGCCCCCAGTCTTTTTTTTTTTTATTCTTTTGATCATAACCTTTTCTCTAGTTTCTGGTCCCCTTTCCTATTGGCCTCAGTTGCTTTTAAGGTATCTGCTTTAGTTCTCTCTGTTAAAGCAGCAACAAATGCTAGCTAGTTTTTTAGGTGTCTTACCTATCCTCACCCCTCCCTTGTGTGCTCCCATTTTTATCATGTGCTCAAAGTCCAATCCCATTGTTGTGTTGCCCTTGATCTAATGTCCACATATGAGGGAGAACAAACGATTTTTGGTCTTTGGGGCCAGGCTAACCTCACTCAGAATGATGTTCTCCATTCCATCCACTTACCAGCGAATGCATAACATTTCGTTCTTCTTCATGCTGCATAAATTCCTTGTGTATAATACCACATTTTCTTAATTCATTCGTCAGTGTGGGCATCTTGTGTTTCCATAACTTGTCCCTTGTGTGCTCCTTTTTATCATGTGCTCAAAGTCCAATCCCATTGTTGTGTTTGCCCTTGATCTAATGTCCACATATGAGGGAGAACAAACGATTTTTGGTCTTTGGGGCCAGGCTAACCTCACTCAGAATGATGTTCTCCAATTCCATCCATTTACCAGCGAATGATAACATTTCGTTCTTCTTCATGGCTGCATAAAATTCCATTGTGTATAGATACCACATTTTCTTAATCCATTCGTCAGTGGTGGGGCATCTTGGCTGTTTCCATAACTTGGCTATTGTGAATAGTGCCGCAATAAACATGGGTGTGCAGGGGGGCACCCAGTCTTGTGGCACCTCGTACAATTCATGGCTCAATTTTCTGAGGTTGTCCATGATACAAGACCTGTGGAGGAAAACCGTGATGCCTCACATTTGTTCATTTTTCATTTAACAGTTCTTAGAGAGTCACTGTGTAGCAGCAGGCGCCTTGTTTGTTGTACCAATGAGTAATTTCTAAGTAAGACCCTTATTAGATTAGGAGTAGACTGAGAAATCAAGGTGCAAACAAGCAGGCAATGTGCTACCAGTGTGGGATCCAAAGTCCCTTGAGAGCCAAGGGGAAAGCCCAGGTGTTGGAGGAAGGATGGAGGGGAAGAACATTCTTTCCAGGAGTTGTAATGTTTGTAGCAAACCCTGACAGCTGAGGCATTGGTGGCCAGGCGTCTAACTCTTTATGTGTTTGTACCCAACCTGGGCTTTCCCTGACCCTCAGCCTCATCTCCAAGGCACCCACATTTACTGTCTCTGAAGGTTGGAACGAGGTAATGGTGAGCCCGCTTGTGAGGACACTCACCTGTCTGAAGGTCCTCCCTCATGTCCCTGGCAAGGTATGCCAGCAAGATGGCAGCTCAGCTAGGGTTTAGAATTCAGGGTTTAGAAAAATGAGCTTCAGATTTGCCTCCATTAGGCCATGTAACTAAGTCCTTTCGCTCATGACCCAGACTTTCTTCTCTGACAGAAAGCTGTCACTAGAATCCAGTTGAGTAAATCCTAGTTCTTTGTCTTGCTAACTATGTGACAAGCCTGAGTCCCAGGTTTCTCATTTGTAAGATGAAGATAATAGCACATATTTCACAGAATGGCTCAAGGTTTAAAGAAGATAATTTGGGTAGTGTCTGGCACTTAAAGATTATTTAAAAATTTGCGAATATCAGGACCCTAGAAGGGGTCCCTGAGAATCAGTATAAGGTTCACTCTCAGTCATTTTTTTATGGTTGTTTTTGCTGTGGTCAAAGCCATTTTGACCCATATTGAACACAGGGTGGTTGAAAGAGGATTGTTATATCTTATTTTCCCATGTGGTAGACAGTGAAGGAAATTGAAAGTGGATGATTTTTTTATTACCATTTTATATTTAAAAGTATTAGAATGTTATTCAGCCTTAAAAGGAAGGGAATTCTGACATCTGCTATAGCATGGACAAACTTTGAGGATGTCATACTAAGTAAAATAAACCAGGCACAAAAGGACAAAACTGGATAATTCCACTTATATTCCAATATCAAGAGTAGTCAGATTGGGACTGGCAGAGTGGTTCAAGTGGTAAGAATGCCTGCTAGCAAGTGTGAGGCCCTGAGTTCAAATCCCAGTGCCACCTATATATATATATATATATATATATATTATATATATAATTTAATTTTATATATATATAATTTATGTATAGATTATATATATATAATTTAATTTTAACCAATGTACAATGTAAGCCTATTTGGATTGTCACAGTGAATCCCTCCTATGCAATGAATATATCCCAGAATTTTTTTAGAAAGAGTAGTCAGAGTGATGGAGACAGAAAGAAGGTGTTTCCAGGAATCGGGAGTAGAAGAGGAAGGAGAAGTCATTGTTTAATGATATGGAATTTCAGTTTTGCCAGACGAAAAAGAGTTCTGAAGGTTGGTTGTACAACAGTGTAAATGAACTTAACATACTCAACTATTCACTTAAAAATAGATAGATGGTAACTTTATGTCATGTGTATGTTACCATAATTTAAAAATAAATTTAAAAATAAGTATTAAGCATGTACCAAGTATCAAGTATTATACCAGGCACAATGAGAGCCAATGAAAATAAAACGGCCCCTTATGGAGCTTACAGACTGATAGGGAAGACACATATTAAACAGAATCACAGCAATGGTAGAGTGTAGCTGGAACAAGGACTACACAGAGATTTTCACAGCAACCTGAGTACTGGGACCTGCCCTGGTGAGGGAGGCCAGGCAGAGCCAAAGCAAAAGTGGACAGTAGGAGGGACAAGCAGTCCAGGAAAGGGGAACAGCATGCATATAGGATGCAAAAAGGGCAGATCTGAGAGAAGGCTCTTGTGGCTGGATTGCAGAGGATGGGAGAGAGTACATGGTGAGAAAAGGCTGGTGAGGATGATAAGGCCTCTCTTGCTTATGAGAAAGAGTTTTGTCTTCCTGAGCAAAAAAGGAAGTCACTGAGTGTTTTGAGCTGAAAATGGGGAGGGATACAGAAGAGAAAGTTTGTGTTTTGACAAAATCAATCTAAAGGAATATTTTTTTCTTACAAAGAACAATCTTATCAAATACTAAGAGCTTCATCTTAATTGTGCCTTTGCAATGGGCCTCACCCTAATATTTGTAGAGCCCTGACAAGAGTACACATGGTAACCAACATGCCATGGGTTACAGGTTATAATTAAGCTAGCAAACTATTGTCACTATGTCCCATCCTCTCACTCTAAAAAGTATGCTTTTGTAACTATGATGTCAAAAAAGATATGTACAACTATGGTTTATGTGGTTAAGAGTCAGCAAAGTATCAGAAATGACTGAATTTGATTATAATTTTTGTCTGGATATTCTGTGGGGCCAATGAGAAGTGGATGAATGTGGAGATATTTATAATTAAATCATTTCTTATAGCATAATTTGCTTTCATTTTAGCAAAATCTTCATGTTGTTCTAGCTAGGATTTAACAAAATATGTGTTCTTTAGGCAGAAATACTAAGCTAGACAACTTTCTCTTTTTATAACAGCTTATTTAAAGTGTCCAGCTAGAGTCAATTTAGTTCTTAGATAGTTTCTCCTTCACTTCAACTTGAAGAAACTTTGGCTTGTTGAGGACCTATAAACTAAACTGTTAATAAAATTTTTAAAGATGTACTAGATTTGCAAATTAACCATGAATAGAATACAGGTTCAGACAGTGGTAATGGAATCTCATATGATTTATTACATTTATCACAGAGAATATGAGGAAATGTTTTAATTCCATTGTACAAATCTCTGTACACTGCAACTTCTAATGTCTTTCAAGCAGTATCTCAATCTGCTAAAAATTTGGTCTGGGTGTCATATTTCCCACATTATGTCTGGACATTTATACACATTTAAGAGCAATGGGAATGGTTTAATATTGGAACATGTTCCTTGGCTGCCATGGGCAAATGTTGTGAGTTTTTAAGAATTTTCTGAACATGAGAAGAAGCAATAATCTAGACACTTGGTATAGCTGGGAACCAGTGTTTCACTTGCAAGGATCAAGCATGTTCAAGTATCTGAAAGACACGATTTGGCAAATTAATTAGCCCTTTCTCTTCTCCAAGTGTTTCTGCTGCTGAAAGGATCTTTGCAGGTAGAAGCAGCCCCCATCACTGCCCCTGTCAATGTGAGCAGCAGCAAAGCCCTCAAGTGTTCAGGACTTCCAAGGACTCAGGGCAAGGGATGTGGGGAAGCATTTTCTGGGGCTCACGATGGCACTACCCTGTAACCTAAAACCACATAAGCATTTGGCTAACCCTTGCCAAGTCCATCCCACCAACCTGTTTGTTGTTCTGCTAAGGATTAATACTGCCAGGTGCTCCTTTCTAAGTCTGCTGACTATGTTCTTCACTTGTTTTACAGGAACTGGTGAAAGTGGGAAAAGCACCTTTATCAAGCAAATGAGAATAATCCATGGGTCTGGTTACAGTGATGAAGATAGAAAGGGCTTCACAAAGCTGGTTTACCAGAACATATTCACTGCCATGCAAGCCATGATTAGAGCAATGGAGACCCTAAGGATACAATATGTATGTGAACAGAACAAGGTAAAGTGATCAGGGGTATTGGCTCTCTCTGTGAATGCATGCCTTCTCTCTCAGGTGAGTGAATGTCTTTGAACAAAAAGATTTTCTAAGTGCCTTGGTCAGATGATAGAAGCTCTTGAGCTCAAATTCCAGAATGGAGTTGACATTTGAGAGGAGTGTGATGGATTGCTATCCTGATGGTCGTATTTCTGGTGGAGAACTTCAGTAAGAAATACAGCCAGTAGTGTGCTGTTATGTGGTTTGTGGAGGGTCAGAAATTTGAATGGTTATTGAGGTTACTTATTTCAGCCACTGGAAAAGGAAGGCACATCCCTTTGAACTAGGAAACCTAGTTAATTTCTTCAGTGGAACAGTGGAGACATTGGGTGTAAGTGGCCAGGTCTTCAGGAATTCTCAGTCTTAGGAAATAGATTGACTCAGGTACTATAGACTACTCAGATAAATCCGTGGGATTTATTTGTTTGTGTTGGGAGCTGGCCCTTCTTGGGAACTAAGTGTTAGTTTATGAGAGCAATGCTGATGCCCCAGATCACAAAGTGTTCTCAAGAAGTGATGGTGTCAAGCTAGCATTTGCTATTCTTCTGCCACTGGTTATTTAAAATGTGAATCTGTTAAAGATCAGAGGATAATAAGAGTAGGGAAAATGGGAGAAGACAAATTTTCAGATGGTATATATGGTATATTGTAATTCAGGAAAATAATACTGTGTTTGAGTTCATTAAGAATCTAGAGCCAGCATAAAGAAGACTGAAACCATGTGGCTTGAAGGTAAATGGATGCAGCTGGAGGACATCATATTAAGTGAGGTAAGCCAGGCTCAGAAAGACAAAGGCCCATGTTTTCTCTCATATGTGGGAGATAGACATAATACACATACAAGCAATATTATGAAAAACAGGTTACGCTAAGGGGAGGTCACTAACAGAAGAAGGAGGGTAAAAGAAGGAAGTTAAGAAGGTGGATATGGTTGATGTACTTTCTATACAAGAATTAATATAGAATTTTTAAACCTGCTATAATCACCATAAGAAGGGTACTAAGGTACAAGGGAGAAAAATAGAGGGCATGAACCAATTTGGGTTATAATACATGTATACATGGAAACGTCACAAACAAACTCCCTGTACGCTATCTTAAGCAAACAAAAATGCCTTTTTTTCAAAAGCAGAGAACAGGAAGGTAAAATAGGTCCTCTCTGGAGGGTGGCACCAGTGGAGGGGGGAGGATATAAAGGAAAGGTTGTAGGAGAGTGAATGTGGTGGGAATATTATGTACTAATGTATGTAAATGGAAAAATGAGACCTGCTGAAACTATTCCAGGAATGGGGGGAGGGAGAGATAAAGGAGAATGATGGAGGGGTGAATTTAACTATGATAATATTGTAAGAACTTTTGTAAATGTCACTAAATTACCCCCCAATACAACAATAATATGGTGATAAAAATAAATTTAGAAAATCAAGTGCTGGGGATGGTGATACATGCCTGTAATCCTAGTACTTAGGGGACTGAGGCAGAGGGAGCAAGAGTTTGAAGCTAGCCCGGACAACATAGGAAGATCCTGTCTTAAAAAAAAAAAAGTGCAAGAGAGAAAGGTGTTTATTTATTTTTATTTTTATTATTTAGTCATATGTGCATACATCGTTTGGGCCATTTCTCCCCCCTGCACTCCTCCCCCTCTCTTCCTCCCCTCAGCCTCCCCTTGCTGCCAAGCAGACCTGTTCTGCCCTTATCTCTAACTTTTTTGAAGAGTAGACATAAGCCATAAAAAGAAAGACACAGCATTTTTGCTAGTTGAAGATAAAGCAATAGCTTACGAGAGAAAATTCCTAAGCTTGCTTCCATGCACAAGTGTATTACAACCTGAACTGATTCATCCCTACCTGACCTTTTTACTACTTCCTGATCCCCTTCCCAATTTGATCTCTGTCACTTTAAGGTTACTGTGTTATTCCTCTGCAGTGGGGACATCAAACACTTAAAGTTTTGGGTTTCCTACCTATCCCCATATCTCCCGTATGTGCTCTCTCCTTAGCATGTGACCAAAGTCCAACAACATTGCTTCGTTTGCCCTAGATCTAAAGTCCACATGTGAGGGAGAACAATGATTTTTGGTCTTCTGAGCCTGGCTAACCTCACTGAGAATGAGGTTCTCCAGTTCCATCCATTTACTTGTGAATGATAAGATTCCATTCTTCTTCATGGCTGAGTAAAACTCCATTGTGTATAAATACACATTTTCTTAATCCATTCATCACTAGTGGGGCATCTTGGCTGTTTCCATAACTTGGCTATTGTGAATAGTGCTGCAATAAACATGGGTGTGCAGGTGCTTCTGGAGTAACCTGTGTCGCATTCCTTTGGCTATATCCCCAGGAGTGGGACTGCTGGATCCTATGGCAGATCTATGCTTAGATTTTTAAGAAGCCTGCATATTTTTTTCCAGAATGGTTGCACTAACTTGCATTCCCACCAGCAGTGTATGAGGGTTCCTTTTTCCCCACATTCTCGCCAACACCTGTCGTTAGTGGTGTTTTTGATGATGGCTATTCTAACAGGGGTGAGGTGGAATCTTAGTGTGGTTTTAATTTGCATTTCTTTTATGGCTAGAGATGGTGAGCATTTTTTCATGTGTGTTTTTTGCCCATTTGAATTTCTTCTTTTGAGAAAGCTCTGTTTAGTTCAGTTGCCCATTTCTTTATTGGTTTTGATTTTGAGAGTTTAGTTTTTTAAGTTCCCTGTATATTCTGGTTATCAGTCCTTTGATGTATAGCTGGCAAATATTTTCTCCCACTCTGTGGGTGGTCTTTCAGTTTAGAGACCATTTCTTTTGTTGTGCAGAAGCTTTTTTAATTTTAATGAAGTCCCATTTGTCCATCCTTTCTCTTAGTTGCTGGCTGCTGGGTTTTCTATTGAGGAAGTCCTTGCCTATACCTATTACTTCCAGAGTGTTTTCCTGCTCCTTTTCACCTTTGTCAAAATAAGGTGGGCATAGTTGTGTGGATTCATATCTGGGTCCTCTATTCTGTTCCACTGGTCTTCATGTCTGTTTTTGTGCCAGTACCATGCTGTTTTTATTGCTATTGCTTTGTAATATAGTTTGAAGTTGGGTATTGTGATTCCTCCAGCATTGTTCTTTTGGCTGAGTATTGCCTTGGCTAGTCATAGTCTCTTGTGTTTCCAAATGAACATTAGGGTAGAGTTTTCAATTTCTTTGATGAATGTCATTGGATTTTGATGGGAATTGCATTAAACATATAGATTGCTTTTGGTAATATAGCCATTTTATGTTGATTCTACCAATCCATGAGCACGGGAGATCTTTCCACTTCTGTAGTCTTCCTCGATCTCTTTCTTCAGGAGTTTGTAGTTCTCCTTGTAGAGGTCATTCACATCCTTTGTTAAGTTTACTCCTAGGTATTTGATTTTTTTTTGAGGCTATTGTAAATGGAATTGTTTCCATATATTCTTTCTCAGTTTGTTTGTTGTTGGTGTATAGAAAAGCTAATGATTTTTGTTAAGTTGATTTTGTATCCTGCCACCTTGCTGTAGCTGTTTATGGTGTCTAGGAGTTTTGGGTAGAGTTTTTTGGGTCTTTAAGATATAGGATCATGTCATCTGCAAATAGGGTATTTTGACAGTTTCTTTACCTATTTGTATTCCTTTTATTTCTTCTTCTTGCCTAATTGCTCTGGCTAGGAATTCCAGTACTATGTTGAATAGGAGTGGGGAGAGTGGGCACCCTTGTCTCATTCCTGATTTTAGGGGAAATGGTTTCAGTTTTTCACCATTAAGTATGATGTTGGCTGTAGGTTTGTCATATATAGCCTTTACAATGTTGAGGTACATTCCTTCTATTCCTAGTTTTCTTAGAGCTTTTATCATGAAGTGGTGTTGGATCTTGTCAAAGGCTTTTTCTGCATCTATTGAGATGATCAAGTGGTTTTTGTCTTTGCTTCTATTAATGTGCTGTATTACATTTATAGATTTTGTATGTTGAACCACCCCTGCATCCCTGGGATGAAGCCTCCTTGGTCATGGTGAATGATCTTTCTGATGTGTTGTTGGATTCGATTTGCCATTATTTTGTTGAGGATTTTTGCATCGATGTTCATTAAGGAGATTGGCCTATAGTTCTCCTTTTTGGAGGTGTCTTTGTCTGGTTTTGGGATGAGTGTAATACTGGCTTCATAAAATGAGTTAGGCAGTGTTCCTTCCCTTTCTATTTCATGGAACAGTTTAAGGAGTTGGTATTAGTTCTTCTTTAAAGGTCTGATAGAATTCAGCAGAGAATCCATCAGGTCCTGGACTTTTCTTTTTGGGAGACTCTTATTGCTGCTTCAATTTCATTTTGTGTTATAGATGTATTCAGGTGATTAATATCCTCTTAGTTCATAAGTATCTAGAAATCTGTCCATTTCTTCAAGATTTTCAAATTTATTAGAATATAGGTTCTCAAAGTAGTCTCTGATGATTTCCTGGATTTCCATGGTGTTTGTTGTTATCTCCCTTTTGCATTTCTGATTTTACTGATTTGGGTTTTTTCTCTCCTCATTTGTTTGCCAGGGGTCTGTCAATCTTGTTTATTTTTTCAAAGAACCAGCTTTTTGTTTCATTGATTCTTTGTATGTTTTTTGTTTGTTTCTATTTCATTAATTTCAGCCCTTATTTTTATTATTTCTCTCCTTCTGCTTGTTTTGGGATTTGCTTGTTCTTGTTTTTCTAGGAGTTTGAGATGTAGCATTAGGTCATTGATTTGAGATCTCTCTGTCCTTTTAATACATGCACTTATGGCTATAAACTTTCCTCTTAGGACTGCCTTTGCTGTGTCCCATAGGTTCCGGTAGGTCGTGTTTTCATTTTCATTAACTTCCAGGAACCTTTTAATTTCCTCTTTTATTTCATCAATGACCCATGATGATCATTGAGCAATGTGTTGTTCAGCTTCCAATTGTTGCATGTTTTTTACTGTTGTTTTTGTTGTTGATTCTAGTTTAATG